TGTATGTATGTATATATATATATATATATATATATGTATATATATATATATATGTACCCCATCACCTGAGGAAACTATGCTTTCTAGTTTTTATATTGATTAAAAGTATAGTTTCCTCATATCATTAAGGTGGCTGAAGGTAAATCATCTGGGGCCAAGGCCACCATTGGCCACTCCTTGGCTCCTCTATTTTTATCCATTGCAGTGGATAAAATTGGTCCCTTCACTCTCCAGGATCTGTCACTCTGTGCTGCCTCAGACGAAATAAAAACCTCCCTCCATTCTTCTACACAGATTAACTCCTACCCACTTGAATATCTTGCACCAAAAACATTCAGGTTTACTTGCATTCCCTGTTCAGTTCCAGTCCAGAAAAATGCTCATCTCCAAAACTACAAAAACCCATTATTCAAATCCCTCAGAGATGGGGGATATCGGAGTACTGCTTGCCATTGTGAAGAATACTAGGTGGACTAAGGAAAAAAGCTTAAAAACCAATTAAATTAAATATTTGGATTTCTTTGAAGGAATGCATATCACCGACTGCCTTTTGTACCAGAGCGTTAGTTGGTTCAAACTGTGTGAATGACGTCCTGTAATACAGAGAAGTGCTAAATGTTACAGAGTGTGAGAGGAGTGGACATACTGTATGACAGAAATTAAAGTCAGGCCATGCAGGTCACCTGGACAAAGGCTAGTCTGGATATTCAGATCAATTTCTCGATATGCCTCTGCATAATTTACTGTAACAAAATGTCATTTTACTGAGCATCATGGAGGAAGGATCTTTCCTGCACTTTCAGGTAAACCAGATCGATTTCCTCTCCACCCACAGAGGCTGTCCTCTGGCAGCAGTTACTCTCGTGTGTTTAATTCAGTTCAATTCAATTCAATAATACTTTATTAATCCCAAAGGGAAATTAAATGTTGTTGTAACTCATTATCCTCATTTCATTAAGAGATGTTATAGATATTGATGGCTGTAGGTAGGAAGGATATCTTGTAAAGGTCTGTCCCACAACAGATCTGAAGAAACTGGCCGCAGATGCCTTCCTATCCGTCCGATCCGTCCACCCAGACTCATTAGGCCTCTCAGTTCCCCCGGGCTGCAGGACCGCCTGAATGCCAGGCAGAACTCCTCCCAGAGCAATGGCCACTTCTTCCAGTAGCCTGCCAAGCTCCTCGTCGCTGCGGACATCCAGATGCAGGTGCCAGGGGATGATCCTGGTCCTTCTGCTGTCACAAACCATGTTTCTTGCCAGTTCCAGGATCTCAGTGGTCAGGCACTCGAGCACAGCCAGCAGGTAGACAGGAATGCATCCACGGGGTCTCCTTATCAACTCATTTGAGATTTGGGGCTGTAGTTGAGATAATATTTGAGCTTTTGCGGTGTTCTCAGCTGCTCCCGGTTGTAAAAAAACAACAAAAAACACCTTGCTGTTATGGTTATGCATCATAACAAATGTCCAAGAGTAAAAAATGTCAGTCAAAATCTTTTCAGCTGCACAGCATCTGATACCAGAGGAAACAATCACCCAAAACAAAAGTGATTACATCCAGAAAACCAGGAATTAAAGTTTTCAAAAGCAAAATCTCAGAATGAATGTAACAGAGCTACTCCAACATGCAGCCACCCTGAGCGGCGCAATTCTAAAACTTACATTGGTTTATATTAAAACCAGCCTTTCCTGTGCTCACATTATTATTTATATAAAAATCAGTTGACTTAGCTTCACATTTCACTGCAGATCTCAGCTTTCGTACCTCCAGACAAAATCAGATAATAAGACAGTCATGATAAGTGATGGAGGCTGAAATCCATGATCAGCTCAGTAACACAAACACAGCCAGGAAACAGGAAACAACTCAGTTTAGGTTAGTTTGGTTAGTGAAACCCTTCAGACCAAAAGGATTACAGCTGTTTCACAGTGTGTTTCTGATCCAGTCAGTAGGCAGCACAGCTGTCTGCAGTCATTAGATCAGTCCTAACCTGCATTAACTGTCTGCACAGTCATAGAAATGCACTCATTTGAAAAACATAGAATTCATTCATTACATGTTAAAAGATGCAGTCCATCAAAACAGTCAGTTTATCAGCATTATTTTTGTCAAAATAAAACTAAGTTCTAAAGTATAAATGTTCAGAGAATAACACTGATACATACCATTAATCTGTTCTACTATCACCTCTGTAGCCAGTAATATCACAATTGTAATAATTAGGTGTATTTACCAGTAATCATCATCCAGCCATCATCATCCTCTTGTTCTGGAGTGAGGTCTCGGTGGCAGCATCTTGAGTAGGGAGGTACAGACAGACTTTTCACAGCCACCTTTTCCAGATCTTCTGGAAAGACTTCAAGGTGTTCCCAGACCAGCTGGGGGCCATAGTCTTTCCAGTGTGTCCTGGGCCTTCTCCAGGGTCTCCTCCCAGTTGGAAATGTTCAGAGCACCTCCCTATGGAGGCATCCAGGGAGCATCCTTACCAGATGTCTGAACCACCTCACCTGGCTCCTCTGCATGTGGAGGAGCAGCAGCTCTACTCCGAGTCTCTCCTGGAGATCTGAACTTTTGAACCCAGAGGAGACAGTCCACCCTTTTCCATGGCCTCAGATTTGGAGGTGCTGATCCTCATCCTAGCCGCTTCACACTGGGCTGTGAACCACTTCAGTGAGAGCTGAATATCACGACACAATGATGCCAACAGGACCACATCATCTGTAAATAGCAGAGAAGGAATCCTGAGGCCAACAATCTGGACTCCCTCCGCCCCCTGGCTGTACCGAGAAATTCTGTCCTTAAAAGTTATAAACAGAATCGGTGATGACGGGCAGCCCTGGTGAAGTCCAACTCCCACCCTGAAGGGGTTGGACTTACTGTGCAATGAGAACCAAACTCTCGCACCACTTGTATAGGGACAGAATATAATGTATAATCAGCAGCAGCAGCAAAAACATAAAATAAAAGTTTTATGACCAAATCCTGTTTTAAAATAAACACAATGAGAACTTGTGCTTCCCTCTCAGATGATTTGTCTGTTTGTCTCCATCAGTCAGTGTCTCCTCTTTAATGAAAGACATATTTTAATGGGTCAACACATTTAGACTAAACACCGCTCTCTAAATAAACACATGGATTGAGATGCATCTCTGAAAACCCTGAAGAGCCAAGTCAGGCTGTGACACGTTGACTGGTTCCTGATGATTTATTCTGTAAATATAAAGTGTAGACCTGGTTGGAGCTGCAGATAATTATTAGTGATTAGTGATTATTAGTTCTAACGTTGGCATACTTCAGAGGGATATTTGACAGAATAATAAATGGTTGATGACTATTGGCTCTTTTTTTTTTTTATCTGTCTGAAGAGTAATGAGCAGAACTTCCTGTTGTTAGTTAGGAAGCAGATTATCCAAAATGTTAGGTTGACAACCAATAAGAAGTTCTGTTAATCTGTTTGTGTCCACAGGAACATGTGGTGAACGGAACCAGAGGAGTTGCTACGGCACCGCCGAAGTTTGCCGTCCTGACTGGACCGTATAGTTTGGACAGAGACGGACTGAAGAGGCTGGGGATTGGACTCGCACTGGCAGCAGCCATCTTGGCCTTTATTCTGGACAAGCTGTACTGAAACTAAACCTACATCAGAACCTGAGGTTTACGGTCAGAACACGTTTGAAACGAGCAGGTTTGGGTCAACATGAACTGGTTGGATTCTGTTTCAGTTCAGTTTGATTTTTTGAGTGAAAACCTCTGGCATGAGAATCACATCTGGACTGGACTGCATCTGTGGAGGGATGGAAGGACTTTGGATCTTTTATCTTAGTTCCCGGTACTGTTTTACAGATTAACAAACTACAACTCTACTAGATGTTGTGGAGGTCTGAGCTACCGCTGTCCATATGGTCATTCATTCATGTCAAAGGATTTATTTTTTTTAATAAATGTTTTCTGAGCTGCATGATGTATCTCATTTAGGTTGTTTTAACATGTTTGTTATTGTTTATTTTTCTTCTGGTTTAAAAAGAAATCTGCAACAAATCATATATTAAATAATAAAGTAACTGCCACACCGTAATGTCTTCACTTTGTCTGTACAACACACTTACGGTGATTAGTGTTTTCTGTATGTTTACCTGCTCTGCTGCTCCCATAAAGACTTGTTTCAGATTGTTTCCTTGATCGGAAGCCGTGCCTAGTTTGTTATCGTCTCTTGAGGTTTATTTCTCCAGCTGAACAGTTTTATTTTTTCTTATGAACTGCTTCACACCTGCTGCTTTTCTTCTTTCTGCTATACCTACACTCTTAAAGATCAGCATCACTTCTGTTCTGGATATTCATAGTAATGAAGGATCAGAGTTCACTTGTGGAACTAAATTTAGAGAACTTCATCCAAACCATGGATGAATCTGCAGCTGAAGTCAATTTTATTGTAAGCACATTAAAAATGAGTTTACCAAAGTGCTGCACACATGAAAAGTCCAGAAATATAAAAAAGACTATAAAATAATACAAGTAAAATAGACCTAAGTATTAGATTTTAATAGAAAATGTGTTGTCAAAAATAAATGGTTTGATTTAGTTGTTTTTAAAGTTCTCACACACAGTTGCGGCAGAGCGTGTTCTGGAAATGATTAGTTTTAAAATGTTTAATGCAATCCATACATTCAGGTGATGCAGAGTCCAACAGGAAGCTCAGAAAGGCTGCAGTGTTCTCTTTAAGGGGAGATGTATACATCTGTACATCATCAGCGTAACAGTGAAATTAAGTTTGATGTTACCTCAAAATGGAATCAAAAGAACTGCAGTGGGCCAAGACTGGACCCGTGTGGGATTCCACAGTTGAATAAAGCCGTCAGTGTAACTGTGAAGGTCCGGTTGTTTAGGCAGGATTGAAACCGTTCTGAGAGCTGTGACTCTAATCCAAGCATAAAGTTCTGGTTCACGGGATCAAACTAAACTGCTGAAGATGCTTTGAAACATCTTTTCTTTCTGTGTGTGTTTGCAGAACGTGCAGCGTGTTCTTTGTTTCAGACATCCAAACACTTCAATAAAAGCCTCAATGAGTGTGTGCATGTGTGTTAGGCTCCTGGGATGTTTCATTTAGCTGAAAGGATGTGTGTGTCCTTTAAGACTGACAGGACTCATCACGGTCTCATTCTCCAAGTCCTCTTGTTTAACATCTTTAGCCCACACACACACACACACACCATATGACAAAGTGAATCCTACATGTTACACATGCAGAAGACAAACAGATGTGTGCGTGCACTCAGCTGATGCACAGACCTCACACAAACATCACAGCAAAGCTTCGTAGTGTCTGAGCAAATGATGCACATCAAGCAAACTCTACACAAACACATGCACCCATTCAAAACATGCATATTGCACACACACACACACACACAGAGTCTTTGTATTATGTGATGAAATGATTTGTGTAGCTGTGCAGCTCGTTCCATCCATCCAGCAGAGCCGTACAGGATTCTGCTGCTATCCAAACAGCTCTTTGAAGCTTTGGAAGCACATTTCCTCTGCGAGGCTGTCAGCTCCACGGCAGCATTGTTCTCAGCTGAAATATGAACGCAACACCGCCCTTTAGATTTGGGAGATCATCACTTACTTTGAAATATTGAGGCAGGAGCCGTAGAAAGACGATCATTATTCACTTTGCATCATCCACTTCAACTGCTTCTAATAAAAAACCCCAGTTCTGCGTTCTGGCAGCTGTTGTCAATTTGTCTGCTGCTCAGAGATGTCGACTTGACGTGAAATGGAGAAACTTTGGACGGGAGACAAATGGAAGTGGAGATGGACATCACTGAACTTGACTGTTGTCTGATTTGTTTCAGATCCTGTATGATGGAGCTCAGTGGGGTTACTGGTGCTCCGAACAGGATGTAAATCTTGACAAGGCAGCCGATTTTAATAAGCTGAGGCCTAATTTCATGAATAGACGTAGAACTGCAAAATGTCATCAGATGAACAAATGAATCTTTCTTGTTTTGTTTTTTAATCAGATGAAAGGTTTTCAAAGAAAACTAACTTTCTATGACAGACTGACAATCGGACATTTCAGTGCAAACTGACGGAAGATGATTTTTCCGTGCTGACTTCGTGTTTCCATGTCGATCCTCAGACTGGGACCAGAGGAACAAACCACTCTGAAAAACTTCCAGCATGTCTACTCTGTTGAACACTGCTCCTCTAGCACCAAATATAGACAGTCTTAAAGGGACAGTTCAGATCTTTTGAAGTGTTGTAAGCTATGCTTACATGCGCAAAATTCTTTGACCGGATTTTAATGTTTTCAGATTAAATAATTCAAATGTATTGTTTACATGGACACAATTCGTTCATGACGAGCGTTTACATGCAGCGGGGTTTTATTCTGAACAGAAGTACTGACATGCACAGAGTGGTAAACTCTCCTTAAAAAAACAACGAAGAAGTGCTACTTCTGGTTTACTTCCGGGATGAACGTAAACAAACATGAGCACTCAAAATGGACCCGCGACAGGTTTTAATGAAGGTGGAGGCATTACTGCACTCCATGACTGAGCTACAGGTAATACAGATCATTTTAAGCTCTTTCAAAGTTTCTAGTAGAAATGTTGTGTCGCTCACCGACCAGTTTTGCTTCACCGACATGCTAATATTATTAGCGCCAGGCAGGCAGAAATGACATAGGTCGCACATGCGCAGTCAGGTCAGTTTTTCACAATCGGGGGAAAAAAAAATGAGCAGATTAAGTGTTTACATGGACACCATTCGGATTATGAATCGACATAAACCACATGTCTCTCTGATTACAAATTCTTTCGGATCGAGCTGAATAAACAAAAAATTATCCGAATGTGGCGTTTACATGATGCATTTTTATTCCGAATGGCCATTTAATCCAATTACTTCTGTCCATGTAAACAGATGTAGAGAACATTTTTAGATTGGAAAAAACTAAACTGAATTCTAAGCAAACTAACGCTTAACTTTTGTCACAAAACCACTCAGATTTCAAACAGTTTGACTTGGTTTTATACAAATTGTAGTTATTTTTCATCAGTTGTTAGATATTGAGCTAAATATTGAGGTGGTAGTAGCTGAGAGTTATGACCAACACATACTCTGAGAGCTAACACACCTCATGAGGTCTTGCACAAGATTGTCAATGTCATTTGCAAAGTTTGACTAAAACATCTAAAACTTCATCTCTTCACCTGAAGTGGTAAAAGGTGGCAGGTGATATGCATTCCTTCATAAATGCTTTTAAATTTTAAAAGTGCTCACAGTGGCTGATTATTGAGTCGTTATCTGGGTTTCATTTGCAGGACATGACATATTTCCTTTTCTCAAAGACGTGAGAAAGTTGTACTTTGCCCATAGCCTCTGCTGGGCTAAACACAATCAGAAGCACTAATGGTCAGTCAGGTCATCTGGACAGTTTCTATTTTGTGGAAATATGTTTCGCCCTCTATCCGGAGGGCTTCATCAGTCTGAGGAGTCCCAAGTAAACTGTTTTTCCCACTAAGCAGTACACCCCTTAGTGGACCAAACCGTTTGCTGCTGATAAGATGGTTTCTGGGGTCTGTCCTGTCCCCTGTCTACTCCTCCCAGGCAGGCAGCCACAGCCAAAGTAGTTCAAGAAATCAAAGTTATGTGCAGGGCTACATCAGTTCAGACTGATGAAGCCCTCTGGATAGAGGGCGAAACGTTTTTCCACAAAAAAGAAACAGTCCAGATGACCTGATTGACCATTATTGGATTTTGTACCTGGATGACTGAACATGAGCTTTGACAATTAGAAGCACTAGCTCACATTTTCGTATATTTTCCTATTTATTGTTATTATTCTGAATTTTCTGTTTTCTTAATTTCATAGCTTTTCTCCTGGTTGTGCAGCTTCCAGCAGCATATATTTATACAGTGCTTTTAGCCAATCATATTTTGAGCATCATCTGTTGGGGTCAAATAAATCTGCCTCGAGGGCCTTCAGAACCAACAGTGCAGGCACCTGCAGGTTAAAAAAACAAAAATTAAACTGTTGCTTTGACCAATCAGATGTTGAGTTGTTGGCGCCTCAGTCTTCTAGCAGGCATTAAACAATGCCAGTATTTTAACACCATTTCATTTTACAGCCAGAGTGGACTACACGGGGCTACGAAGTTACATCTGTAGCGACCTGCATAAGCTAAATGCTGGGCGGACATTCTCAGACCTAAAGTGAAATAAAACTTCTGCCTGAAACACGACAGAGCAAACTGGACTTTCAGCGTTGGCTTCCATAGCAACAGAAAAGCACTTATTGTTGAAACAGAAGCACCATGATGACCTGTAGGACAGAGGAACTCTCAAACAAAGGAGTAGAAATAATCAAAACTTTTGGTGAGTAAAATGCATTTTATTCAAATGTTTTATATTTTTGTGAATTTATTGCATCTGTGTTTATGCTTTTGGTAAATCTGCATGTGGTGCAGCTGTGGCTGCAGTTAAAGTAAACTATGGGTAAACTATGGGTGCATTCACACCAGTCCTGTTTAGTTTGCATTAATCGAACTCTAGTCCATTTGCCTAGAAAGTCCGATTCATTTGGGGAGGTGTGAATGTGCTATCGAACTCTGATATGGACCTAAAAAGTGAACTCTGGTCCACCGAAATAACTAGGTCTCGGTTCGGTTGAAGTGAACTCTAGCGTGGTTCGACTGAATTGTGAATGCAAGCGGACCGGAGACCGCTCCAAAAGCAGGAAGTGGACTACAACACAGGGCATTCTGGGTAAATACAACCAAAACAAACGTGTATTTCTCTTACCTCATATGGAGCCGTCAGCCACCTTTGAAAAAAAACAACATTCTCCATGGTCTTCTGCCTCATCTTCCACTCATGTTGAGTCCATTGTTGAAAAATGACCAACCAGAAATCCTAAAACTGCTAAAATTTGATGCTACTCCGTTTTTGTTTTTATTTCCAGAAGGAGAAGAAGTGTCTTCTTCAGAGGTTTTGGTGTTGTTTCCTTCAGGAGTTCTTGGTGCAGCGCCACCAGAGGTGAGGGGGGGGGGGGAACAGGTTGGCTCGATT